CCGCCGCAGCCATCGGCAACTCTTTCACGCACCGCACGAACAGCGCCACTAATCACACCCCGACCCCTGCGCTCTTTCAGACACAAACCCTGCCTGCTGCACTGCTCCGCCCAGCCCCCGGGCCTGTCAGGACCTCCCATCCACAAGTCCTATTTGCCCCTTATTGACCCGTTCGACCCAGCTGGAGCTACTCTGCCTCTGCTCAAGGAACTGACCGTACGGGTCACCCAGACCAGACCAGGAGTGCTTTCGGCAAACGTACTCCTTCTATGCATCCCGAATACTGAACATCATCGTGTCATCATCGGACCTGTACTGTTTCTCGCCTCTCCTCATGTGGATTAACCTCCATTCAGAGCATCGGGTGCTTTCTCATGCTGGATTTATTTCTCTAATCTCACTGGACTTTACATGCTTTCTGTGCCATCCTGCTGCCCACGGCTCATGCCTAGACCCCGGACTTGAACCTACATTGTACCGCAATAATATATAAGACTAACCCCGTGAACTATGCAGTGTCATTATTTCATGAAGCGAGGCGCCGTTTGAGCTAAAATATGGTGGGGATATGCTTTCTGTAAAGATGCAGCGTGGCACTTAGATCACTGCTTTGGTGGAGGATTGTTGTCACTCATAATTTAAAAGGTTGTTACAAATTGTAAGAGTGAGCAAAGCCCTCCTCTGTTCCTGTATGCACTTTAAGCCCCTCCTCCGTTGATGTCTACATTAGATGGTTAGACTATGTTAGATGGTTAGTATATGTTGTACTGTGTGTTTTTTGTATCCGTTCTTGCATAAGTGTGTGTGTGTGCGTGTGTGTGTGTGCGTGCGTGTGAGAAAGAGAGAGAGAAAGCTTTCCATCCACCATAAGCCATCCCAGTCGATATCCAGCACACGTTGTCACTGACCATGTCTCGGGCCAGAGGGACCACAAAGGCTTGTCTGTGTTAACTGTCAATGTGTAAAAGGTGAACAGTTTCAAATAAAAGAGCCCTAATTTGTTAATGCTGGTGGCCGTGACCGATTCATTGGATAAAATCCCACGTGTCACAGTCGTGGTATTCATATGAGCTTACAACATTGAGTTACATCAGCAAGTTCTGAATCGTTTTTAACAATATTTGATCAACCGGCTGTGTAATTTCAATAATATTCATGCAGTTTTCAAACATTTCTAAAGAACACCACTAAAGTGAAAAGATTATTATTTCCATGTGCAATAATTTATATGTGCTGCTATGGCTCTGTTCTGAGACCTTCCAGGCCTTCCACACGCATACGAGCATAATGGGATTCTCACATGCACGTGTCACGAGCATTTAATCCATTTTTAATAAAAAGCAGGCGGGTGAGACGGGTGGTGCTAGAGCCAGCGGGCGTGGTCCTGAAAGAGACTTGCAGTTTATGCGCATGAGTCGAGAACACGCCCACCCACGTTGAAGATCAAGAATATTGGATATTCGAGTTGGAGATCATGCTAAACTTCAAGGTGTAATTCTGGCTCTGGCAGAACAGCCACTGCTGTATAGCGCACATATTAAAAGTTACAGGGACATAAAGAGGTTATTTATGATGGTGTTGGAGAAACCTGAAAAACAGTGAACAGTTTTCAAGGAACAAAGTAGGAAATGCAACTATTTCATGTTGTCAAACTCAACAGCGTTGCTAAGTTGGTTCAATCTTGCAGCTGACTGATGCTTGCGAGATGAATGGTGTCAAGCAGTCTGGCTGCAGTGGAATTCTATGTGTGAGGCTTGGAGAGCATAGAAGATCCAAACACATCACGAAGAAGATGAGCAGGATTGCAAAGGGACTTACAGATGCCGCAGCAACTGTAGGCCGGGTAAAACAGCTTAAATAGTATGCTTTGAATTAAATTTACCAACAAAAAATATTCTACCTGAGCCTTGAGCTGATGTGGGTTGGAAATAAATGTCATCACCTATCTGTTGGGATTTTGAGCTAAGCTTCACTTTGTTGCTTTTTAAAACTAATTCTACGCTTTATTTTAATCTATTCTGAGCAAAAGTCAAGTTCAGAACACACGATCTAGAGACAGCAAAAATTAGTAAATCACTGTACCTAAAAAACAAACACCACATATATACTCTGGTGCAATGAAGGATATTCACTCTATTATTGTTTAGTTTTTGCAAGGTTTGGATACACAGAGCGACAGTAATGCACATGCACACACAGTCAGAATACAAAAATCAAACTGAAAACATAGAATTGAAATTCACCGCAGAACACCATCCCCACAAAAACCAAATATGTTTCTGAGGAAAGTTTGCTCACCTTATTTGTATCATAGAGTGTTACTGCAGACACATATCTATAATCCTGAGGGTAAATACGCTACCGGCACATTTGCATTCTGCTGAAATATCAGAAATATAATGTTGGTTTTTTTCCAGGGTTAGCGAGCACATTTGATTTATTTTTAAGTGACATGAAACTTATTAATTCAGTGCAAAAAATTTGCCCAAACAGGCTGCTATGGTGTGACTGACAGATGATTAATTGGACTAGTAATACAGCAAAGCTCATGATCTTGATAATTAGCTGAATGTAGTTATGGAAAGTCCAGCCAGTCAGGCACAGAGTCATTTCTTGTCATTTAAAATGTAAAACTTTGAAACTGTAGTCCAGATAAAATGCTAATGAAACATTGAGTTTAGGACGTGTTGAGCAAAGTATACACTTTGCAATTTCTTGGTTAGTGCGCAAGGATCTTGGTGATGCTGTTGAATTGAATTGAATTGAATTGAATGAATGCTTTATTGGCCATATGCAGGTTGCCCCGCAGAGGAATAGGACCCCACCCCCAACTTACACACACAACAAAGACATCACATGGGAATACAAGTCAGAGATCGGCAGCGTTACAGAGAAAACACTGAAAAAGTACACAACAATGGGAAAGTACAAGAGGAAAAAAAGAGACCTCTACTCATGCTGGGCACCTATGGGAGGACAGCATGAGAACAGGAAACAAAAAAACTCCTCTGCACAGAGAGCACATAAATGTCCACAGTACAACATTGGAGCACGTGACAAGCCACAGGGTTGGGTAGGGGGTGAGGAGTAATCCGAAGGAAACACAGCAGTCATCCTGCACAGCGCTACCATTCCAGCGCAGCACACAGACCCGCCGTGTTCCCCCACAGGAAACAAGCATCGAAGGCTGTTGGCTGCGATCATACTGTGAATGAGGGTAAAAATGATCACGGTCTGGAGTTAAAGGGAGCAATTAATGAATTAATAACAAATAAATCAAATCAGGCAGTTTAATACCTAACGATATAAACTGAGTTCCTTTTGTATGTGCTTCCACCCAGACGTCCTTCTGAGTGATCTCATAGAGATCAGAAAGTAAATTCATCTCATGGTCCCATCTGCAAGCTATACACACATCTGTTTATTTCCTCTCATGCCTGATCTGTGTCCATTCAGTTGTCAATAAAGTTGTGCTCACTTCAGCATCTAGGTAGGGCACAGGAGCAAAAGCACAAAGTAATTTAACACGCAACTTTTCTCTCCGTAAGTACCGCCAAGCATATATTGCACAGCTCTGCATATGTTTTGCTAAAATGATCTGGTTATTTCACACATACACAGCAAACTGAATAATTTCATGCAGTGTGAGAATAAGCCGTGTTCAGACACATATGTATGCGTTCTATGCACTGTGAAAAATCACACTCAGGGATCAAACCACAAACCGTCCAATTAGCACACAACCTGCTCGACCGTCTGAGCCATCACAGCCTGGTGTCGCTCATACCGGGTTAGTTCAAGGGCGGCAGACGTCAGTTAGAATTTAAACTGACGATGCTCACAAGAAGCACTTGCCAATCGGAAAGTAGCCACGATAGCTCATGCAACATCTGCTTATATATCGTGAAATGTGTTTGGCTAAATCCACAAAGAGAACTAAACCTCGGAGCCAGCAGCCAATCTATGTGATCAGCACAGGTCAGCTGACTACTTCAGAGTCTGGGTGAATTGGAGCTCACAAGTTTGGTAGTTATTTTGAAATGACTCATTTTTTTCCTCACTGAAAACTGAACCGCTACCAGGATCTTATGGTTCCTCCACCTGCCAGAGCCCACTTTGAGCCCATGTCATTTGTAATGGTGTTGAGAACAAACAGCCCAAAACAACACCGAACAGACTGGATGTTTAAAAAAAAAAAAAGTTGAGTTGTAGCAGCAGGAGCTACGTTCGTATGACGTCATCGTAGTCTAGCATTCAGTAGAAATGATCATTGTACAGCCTACATGTACAAGTTTATTAGACCTATGCCACACAGAACTCGCAGTAAACAAAATTGTGAAGTCTTACTGTGTGTAGACACCTTAAGGGACTATTGTCAGCCATGAATAATTAGACATACTCTCTAACCATTAGTGGCAGCAGGGCGGCAAATGTGGGAATGAGTCAAAATAAACTCGAGTGTGCGTGCTTATGGTAATGAAGGAATATGTCAGCCAGTGCAATGCTGTGGCTTACTGAGCTAAATCTCTCCGTTTGGACAAGACTTCTCCATCTTTATTCTCTAAGACGTTCTTAAAAGCCACAGTAACCGGCCATTAACATTTTTCTGCCGACATTAATCCGGTTCTGTCAAAACAAACACGACAAATACGTTTCACAGCGTGATAAAAACGAATGAATCCTTTTAATAAAAACTCATATACGTGGCAGGCAAACATTAACAAGTGAGCGTGCAGAATTCACCGACAGCGTGGCATGCATGCACACACGCCATAAATACACCAATGAGGTCTGACATCTCAAAGCCCCGATGGCTTTCTTCCATCCAAGAAACAAAATCACTGGCCAAAGCAGGGCTGAGAGCTTTAACATTTTGGAGAGACTGCAACTCACGACAACACCATAACTCTTGCACTAGATATTAAACTCGGTTGTTCAGTGTGTGAACTTTTCCATAGACCCATAAGCTCATTCGTTCACCCCTCGTTTGCAGCACATCTAGCCCCAAACTCCCTGACGCATGAAAACTGGCTCTCTACCCAGACGAGGGAGCTTCTTTTCACCAAAGCTCTGCTCGCCCTCCAAAACCAATACAGCAGGCCGCCTGAGGACCAGGCCGCTGCTCTGCGAGTTGAATCTCTGGCCACCGTCTCGCTTCCATTTAATCTCACTGGAGCGATGATCACAAACATCTGTAAGTGGGATGCTCAGCTTTTCTATCTGCTGTTCAAGAGAGCTATCAGCAGAAAACAGCGCCTGGCTCCTTCTCTGTCAGCGGGGAAAATGCTGCGAACAGCTGGACGTCCAACCAAGCGAGCACTGGAATGTAGATTAGGTCTGAGTGCGACTCAGAAAAGAGAAAGTCTGCTCTAGCTGATGACCAGATTGAAACCAAGTGAACCTTATCTAAGGCTTGTTTCAAGACAATGAATTCAATAATGAGCAACAAACAGTGACATGAAGTGAATTTTTAATAATTCACTGCACACTCTATAATTAGCATGAAAATGGGAAAACAACATCTTCGGTATTTGTTTTTATCTGAGCTCTCGGCATCTATTTATTTTCATTTCTCATCAGGCTGACGAAGAGAAACCAGCAACGGATTGTTTTTATTTGTTGTTCAATGTCAAAAAAGAAAATGAGGAATAAGTAATCAACCAGTTTCTCCAGTTTTCTTACCTTTAAACTTTCTATAAAATATTATCTTTAATAAAGTCAAGTCATCTTTATTTATATAGCACATTTAAAAGACATCAAGTGTCGGCTAAAGTGCTGAACAGAGGGATAATATAATAAAAGAATTAAAATAGAAAGAAAACATTAAAAAAAAAAAGAATTGTAAGACATGTAATATCAAAGAGATCCGAAAGCCTTGGAAAATAAGTAGGTCTTGATTTTCGATTTAAAGACTTCCAAGGATGAAGAGAATTTTATGAAGGGGGGAAGACTATTCCAGAGTCTCGGGGCGGCAATGGAGAAAGCCCTGTCACCTCTAGATTTGA